ATCTGATGATTTGACCTATACCTACGAATGCAGTGACTCAAAAGAAGGAACAAATCCTTACAGCAAGAAATATTCCCACCCCCTCCACACACAGAGTGGGCAGAGATGGACACTTTGGATATTGGATACCCAAATGGGGAGGGGAGGGACTACAAAGGCAAGAAGTGACTGGCTTACAAGCTTTCAAGAGGGAACCTAGAGCTAGGGGGCATGGAGGAAGGCAGAATCTCCAGTGAGTACTATCCAACTTGTCTAGGCAGAGCTGATGAAATGAAATACAGATGGGTAACTTGTGATACTGTAGTGAATAATGGTTATAAGGACTGATTATGAGGGTTGGAAGTGTAAAAGTAGATGTTTTGTAGCAAGGAAGGGAGCGATTATTTCTCCAGTCTAGGAGTGGAGGTCTCTAGGACCATCAATGGAGAAGAGCCGAGAGCGGGACCCTACCCAGAGAACCAGAGATCCCTGAGATGGAGACAGAGACGATGATGTGGAGTGATGAAGTGGCTGGGGACTTTGGATCCAGAAAGGGAGCAAGCCTGTGGGTGGAAGACTGAGGGGGGCGGAGAGGGGAGGGGAGGGGGCGGGTTTCTAGGATATACCCTTTGGTCAGTTGATGCTGCATGAAGGGGATTGGAACCATGGCAATGAAATGATGTACGATGGAATGAATGTAAAACTAAAGTTCTCTCATGTAAACATGTAAACTATCATATAATTCACAATAAAACATTAAAAAAGAATTAATCACTCGGGAGAGCTGGTGATGCCATAGGATAAACAGTAGACTGCTAACCACAAGGCCAGAGCTTCGAGTCCACCAGCTGCTCCACAGCAGAAAGATGAAGCTTTCTGCGCCTGTGAAGATTTACAGCCTCTGAAACCCTACATAGGGTCACTGGGAGTCAGACCCTCCAGGGCAGCGCTGAACAACATAAACATCATACATACACTACTCTACACCTTGCTCTGTTTATTAACAATGTATCTTTCCCCACAATGCATCTCAGAAGACATTCCCAACGACTTCCTTCTTTCGTCCTTCCTCTCTCTCCCTCTTTCTTTCTTTCACAGCTGCATCCTACTCCCTGGTTATGAAATTGTACTTCTGGGTCACTGTTTATTCATGTCATTTCCAAGAGTCATTCCTAACCTTCTGCTATTAGAAATAAAGCTCAACAAGTACATTTGTGGGGGGAAAACAATTCTATTATTGATTAATTTCATTTTTCCATGAACTTTTTGAAGCCCCTTCATATTTTGCACATTGACTAGTCTCTCGATCCATGACTGCAAGTCCCAGCTATACATTAGACTCACCAGGGAAGCTTTTTTTAAGTCCTGGAGACTTAGGCCATCCCACAGATCAATGATGTCGGCATTCCTAAGGATGGAGCCAGAGCATCAGTCCTCTTAAAAGAACTCGATGCTGCCTGGCTGCCACTACCAACTGCTCTGAAATGGACCACATTAGAAGGTCCTAGATAGAGTGTGAGAAAATGTGGAATTAAGCTAAAAATCCTAAAGACCAGTCTTACTGGTCAACTAGAGACTGGTGGAACCCTTGGTCATTCTTCAGGTCTAGGACTGAACTCATCCACACAGCTCCATTTTCAGCCAAGCAATAGATAGGTATATAGGAAGGGACAACAACATGAGTGAGGTTTGCACACCATAGAATGATCAACCATAGAGACCAAAAGTGCAGTATTCACCTAAGGACAAATGTCAAACAGGTGGGAACGATGGAGGAATGGAAACAGGAAGCATAGGCAGGAAGTGGGATGTGATGTTACATTCAGGGGGGCTGCAATCACAACAAAACGGAGTTGAATGCAAAACTGATGATCTGCTCTGTAAACCTTCGCTCATTTCACAATATAAAATAAAACCAATTGAATAATAAATTTAAAGTTGCTCAGGTGATTCAAGTGTACAAGGCTGGGTACCACTGACCTGACAGGATAAAGTGATTGATCACAGGGCACAGAGATTTGTAAATTTGCTAGATGTTGTCAGATGGCCTCCAATGGGGTTGTGCCAACTTACACTCCTATTAGCAATGCATGAGGGTGACTGTCTTCTCGGCTTCAACAACAAAGTGGCTTCTAAACTTGTTGATTTTTTTCCCAGTCTAAAGGAGCTAGAGTCGGAACCGACTCCATGGCACATAACAACAACAAAGGAGCTCTAAGGAGCTCTGGTGGAGTCCTAGTGTGGCGCTGTGGGTTAATGCATGTCAGACTGCAAAGCCATTTGAACTGCAAGGTTGGCAGTTCAAGCTCATCAGCGTCTCCTTGGAAACCCTATAAAGGGTCACTATGGGTCAGAACCAACTCGATGGCACTTAACAACAACAAAGGAGCTCTGGTAGCATAGTGGTTATGAATCAGGCTGAAAACTGCAAGGTCAGCAGTTAGAAACTACTAGCTGTTCCATGGGAGAAAGATGAGGCTTTCTGCTCCCATAAACATTTACAGCCTCAGAAACCCTGTGCAGGGTCATTATGAGTCGGAACTGACTCCACAGCACATAACAACAACAACAACATTAGATGTGTATATCTCTTATTATACACTGAGGTTGAGCATCTTTTCAGAACTTTAATAATCACTGATCTGTCTGGCCATATTCACCACCCATTAAAAAGATCATGTGTTGAAAGTTGACCTTTATCTATATGAGGAAGATAGTTTCTTGTGACTTGAGTTGGCGATACTTTCACTACTTTGTGTTTTGTTTTGCATTTTGCATGAGATTCTTCTGGATTCTGAGTTAGGGTTAAAGAGGTCTTCCCCACTCCAGCATCACAAAGGAATTTCCCCTTTTTTTATTTCTGGAATTTTGTGGGTTTTCCTTTTTACGTTAAAACTTTGATCCTTTTGTAGTTGACTCTGACCTGTGTATGATGTGAGAGGTTTTTCCTTACAGTTGTTCATCAACTTCATCAAAGAGTAACAGGGGAACCACTTTGGGCTGCATCGAATTGGAATTTCTTTATCTTTGTCTTTTTATTTATTTATATGCAACATCTGCTCCTACTTTCCTGAAAACATGGTTTCATCCACCCCCACACCCATTTATTGATTGGTTGATTCAGTCATTGTTTTCATTGTGTGTGTGTGTGTTTTCTCCCTCTTACTGAGAGTTATAATATTAATTGGATATTGTCTCTGATCTCTTGGGTTTCCATTTAGAATTTGTTTCAATTATTTAACAACCAAAACTGATGACCTTCTTTTGAATATCTAGTTTGAATAAATCATTTCAATTTAACCTTGAAACTAACCTATGGTGATCAGTCCTATGATCATTCCAAATGAGGAAAGTGATTTTGGAGCAGTGTGAGGGAGATGTGGCAGATCTGGGGGCCTTTTCCTAGTGTTTGTGGGATGACTGGGGAGGGAATGAGGGAAGATGGATGAGTCAGCATTTGCTCTTGGAGGAACCCAAAGGGGAAGATGCGATGTGCATGCTAATCACCAGAACAGGGCGCCTGGGAAGCCAGCCATGTCTGACTGCCTCCCCCCTCCCCATTCAAAATGTTCAATTCTTCCAATTCCTCCTCACACGGAAATCACAGTGTCCAACACAGGGGTGGGGGCCATGGGCTATATATTACATCACCCACTTGGAAGAGGCAGTCCCTCATGGAGTTTTGCAGCCCAGCTGCTTGCGGTGAAGGAGGGAGAGAGAGGGAGGGAGGAGGGAATAATGAGGGAGAAGGGAGAAGGAGGAGGGAGAGGGAGGAGGCAGGAGGGAATAAGGAGTAGTGGAGGAGGGAGTAAAGAGGAGGGAGAAGGAGGAGGAAGAGGGAGGAGGAAGGAGGGAATAAGGAGGAGGGAATAAGGAGTAGTGGAGGAGGGAGTAAAGAGGAGGAAAAAGGAGGAGGGAGAGGGAGGAGGAAGGAGGGAATAAGGAGGAGGGAATAAGGAGTAGTGGAGGAGGGAGTAAAGAGGAGGGAGAGGGAGGAGGCAGGAGGGAATAAGGAGGAGGGAATA